AATCTGTTTTTACTTTACATGTTCATCAAACTTTACTTAGAACCTCATAAATAGGCCTGTAGCCAATAGGAACAGACCTTTTTGTTAATAATTGATCTGCCTTAAAATAGTTGTATCATCATTAGAAACGAGTTCTGCCGTATGATTAATACACATAATGCGATAAATCACAGGGGGTCTGTGTATTGAATGTGATTAATCGCCATCTCTAATGATTGTGATCAAATGTGATTAATTAATCAATGAATTAATTCAGAATAATCTAAGACTATCTATGGCAGGGGTGTCAAACTCATTACCACCAGGGGGCCACATCAGCAATACAGTTCCTGTTGATGGGGCCGGTTTTAAATGGAAGACTGTATAGATCAGGGGTCCCCAACCCCCGGTTCGTGGACCAGTACCAGTCCATAGGTCCTTTGGTACCAGCCCACAGAGGGGAAAAATGAAAAAAATTCTAATTTACTTCATTAAAAAAAAAATTTCCATTTTCTTTCTTTATTTGTCGATAATCTGGCAATATTTTAAAATAAAAGTAATTCAGACTTTGATACAAACAGAATAGAGTCTGGTATAGATGGAGCTCCTCCATAACAGACTAATACATGTTTCTGCCGTTGATTATTATTTATTCAAGCTACAAATATTGTTCATTGCTGTGTAATAAAAAAAATTTTTTTTTTTTCATTTCATAGGTTGATAAACTCTGCTACATGGACTTTATTAAATGCTTTTTAAGCTCCAGAGGGCCACACAAAATGGCTTGGCGGGCCACATTTGGCCCCCCGGCTTTGAGTTTGACACATGCTCTATGGCAAAAAAAAACTCTATCTCTATGTTCTACTACAACTTAAACCTGAATGGATAGTGTTGTTGATGCAAGCTGGTCGTCTGACCTGCAGTTGAAACCTCCGTGAACACATGCTGGGATTTGAGATGGTATTCTATGATCCAGCTGCTCCATTAAAAAAAAAAAACATATACAAAATCTTTCTCACAGTGAGTGCAAAAACGTGTGTGTGAGTGTGTTAGAACAAAGCAGGGAATGGATGGTGAAAATATCCACATCAGGTCGTTCCTCCCACGTGTTTAAATTTGTGATCTGCTTAAAGTTCAACAGCAGCGTTAGAAGATGTATTTACCTAAGCGCAAAACTTACATATATTTTTGCTCCACCTGATTTGGCTATTGTTTCAAACTCCACTGGAGTTTTTCTTTAGAAAGTAACGCAGCCGTTGAGGACGGCAACACGTACTGTAAATGTCATGTCGTTGTTAATTTTAATAACGTCATCCATTTATTATGGAGATCGCAGTACTGCTTTAGCAGCAGAAAGATGTAACTCCGCTGTTGTTGCAGACTTGGCTGTTTTGGTGGCACTGACCTGATAAATTATTGCACATGATGAACCAGCAAATATTTTTTCCTGTACTAAAAAGACACAGTTAAGATGTTAGCATTATTTATTGATCTACGAAGAAGTTTATTTTGAATTCCGCCTTGAGGCCTTGTTCTAAATTCCAACTGATACAAGTTGAAGAATTTGTCTTATTGTGTTGATTCTTTCAGTTTTTGGTTGTTGTTTTTTTTTTTTCTGCCAGTTTGGATTTGACTTTTTTTGTGTTCCCCTCAGGCGAAGCTAAATTAACACACAGTTTCTGACATGTTTTTGAAAACTTGATTCCAGCTGTCGTTGCTGACTAGACTTGAGTGAGGCTAAAAGGTTTAAGAGGGGTGATTTAAAAAAAATAAAATAAAATAAGAGTGAACATGGAAGGAAAAAAAAAAGGAGTTGCTTTTTTCCCCCCATCTACAGAGTGCAGAACCTGTGTGCACTTATGGCATAAAAGGCCGCATCTTCTCTTACTGTGCAATCCATAGCTGTGATTGCTTCATTCAGCCCTCTGTGGCCTTGCATAATCAATGTTCTCTTTCACATCCACCCTTCCCATTATAAGTTTAAGCACTTCTCCGTTCTCCTGCCAAACTGATTTATATTAACAGATCATTTTTGAACTTACAGAAAAAGGCTTTTTTTTTTTCTCTCTCTCTCTTCAAAAATATTCATCAGTAGCAGGGGAGGGGAGGTTTGTTAATATTCACAAAGGCGTCTAACGTGGAAGTTATCATGGCTCCTATGTGCAGACGGCGACATGTACGTGGCGTTCCATTGAAGTCGTCGGTAAAAGGATTTGGTTTGATGTCTCGAACAACTTCGTTCTTTCTCATGGTTGTGTTTGATGCCGTAATTTGAACTCCGAATGCAGGTCGGTAATTGTGAAAATGACATGGAGAATCACAAAGGGAACATAACGATCTCCAGAGCTAAAAAGGTACCGGTTGTGAATATGTTAAAAGGTTGCTTTGATTTCCTTTTTTTTTTTTTTAAACAGCATTCATTTAGATCCGGTGGTTCTGATAGCACCCAGAAGCAAAAAAATCTGCTCTATACAAAGGAAGAGGTTTGATAACGACACACAAAAGTGAGTGTAAAGTAGAGCCATGTGCAGGACTACCGTACTTCTTGTTTTGGCTACCTTTACCTATTTTGTTCTCGTGTGGGCAGTGATTACCCTAATTACCCTTATTAGTACACTTTGAAAGCTTTCGCTGTTTCCCCCTTTTCTTTTCGCATACTTCTCGTTCGAAAAGTCCTGGTGGCGAAAAATTCAAAGCAAGTTGGCTAGAAAAAATATGTGTTTTTTTCCCGCAAATTATTGAACAATTCTTCTTTGCGCCAAAGATGTACCGCTCTGCGCTAAGGTTAGAACTCTCTTTAACAATAGAATAAAGCAAAAACAAAAAGATTGATTGTGCTGCTCTATCCTCGTATATATTTGACGTACTGTTATTCCTCAGCTCACTTGCCTTTAGGGTAACGTGAGTGCCGGCTAGCGGAGGACCGGGCAGGGGTATTTGGAATTTGGGCTTCAGCACAGTACGGAACAACTGGTCCTACGGAATTTGGGCTTCAGCACAGTACGGAAAAACAACTGGTCCTAAGAGTCCACCTCAGTGTCATCGTCAACGCCAGACTTCCTAGAGACTTCCGAGGAGAACCGAGGGCTTTCGTGTTGCGTTCTGGTGGCAACCACTCCTTGAGGCTCCAATGTTGGTGAAAACCACTCAAATCGAACTAGAGTTTAAGTGAAAACTTCAGATAAACACAGTAATAAGATCGACAAAAAAAAACCTCTGTGAAAGTGACTTCTGTTCATTCTGATCTAATGGTCCGTATCCTGGTTTACTCAGCGCCACGTGTAGGCGTAGGCGCAGGCGGTGTTGTGATAACTTACAATCAAAAGGCCTCGTCGAAGGTCGCCGCAAGGTAATTTAACTACCGTGGCAGAAAGAAAGGATTTCAGCTTCAATACTTTTTCACTCTTTTTCTCTGTCGTGATGACATTCTCACAGTCTATCGGCCAAAAAAAAAAAAAAAAAAACAACTAAATACACAATCTCTTGGCAACTAGAATCAAATTCAAAGATTCGACAGAGAACATTTTGTACTGACACACAAAATTACCGTTACGAACTATCTTTAGCTCTTTTAATTAGTTAGTTAGTTTATTAGTTGGCGAAGTATTACAGATAAACAGTAGGTCAGCTCTGTTGGGATTAAATCACCAAAATGACAGGGAACCTACGCGGAAAAGTCTTTTTCGCTGTTGCCGACAAAATAGGTAAATACTCATAATTTGATTGACTCGCCTTGATAATCCTGTGGACTGGATCGGGAAAAAAACAAAATCAACGTCAATTCCAGGTCTCTTTATTTGTTCCCAGGCAGCAATCCGTCCAGTTTCCCTGATCATACATGTAAGCAAGAAACTGTGTTTTCACGTCAACCAAGGGGTATTTGTCAGTAGCACATTTGAGTTCTCAGGAAGCGATCAAAGCCGTCCTACTCACACCCCTCCGCCCCAACCCCCAAGAAAGATAGCAGTATAAACGTGGGGAATCCAATCTGGTTCAAAAGAGAACGCCACTGGGGGCCTGAGAGATAAGGAGTCGCTCGAGAACGGAAAAACCATGAAAACAATCTTGTTGTTGCGCTGTAAGAGCAGAGAACACAGCTGTCTCCTTCTGTCCACTGAAAGTACACGTTTGAAGTCTGTAGCTGTTCCGCTATATAGAGCTCCATGGTGTAAAAAAAATCTGTCTCAGCGTATGTCATCGCTGATTTGGAGGAAAGCCAGCGAGCCGGCGCTCGCGTGGAGACGAGAACCGGGGCTAGGGAAGAGGGAAGACACAGATGACCAAACACTGTCAGGAATAGGCTTAGATTTTGTCAATTAAACATATGGCGGGAAATCTTCGCACTTCACCGCCTGCCCTGAGACGACGCCCTGTGAGCGAGGTGTGACAACAAACGTTTCCCGCGAAATGGAAACTGTGATTTTTCCCAGCTGCCGGCCTGCATCAGTAGAACATGAGGCCCAGTTTTTCTGCAGCGTTGGAACAGGTGTATTAGCTTGAAGCCTCCATATGTGATCGTTGTTCTTCTTTTTTGTTCATTTATTTTTTTTGCTGTGGTTGAAGTTTGAATGTTGCTTAAAAATCGGCGCGTCAAGATTTCAAGCCGGGCTGAGCAATACCCCCAGGGTCGGAGGGTAATAAATACGGACATTTTCCGAATGAAATGACAAAGTGTATATTAAGGAATTATAATTTTATTTGCAGTTTTACGCGCAATCCCCTCTGTGACTAACTGTCCACACTCAGCCTTATTCCTTTTTTTTTAATCTACATTCTCGGTGAATCAGATTAGTTCTGATTTGCACATTGATTTTGGAATAATCCGTGACTAACTGCAGACATCTTGATTCAAATAACGCCGCGGGGGAAAATGGGTTAAGAGACGAGTGCATTGTAAAATCGTCGTACATTGAAGGAGATTAAGTGTTATTACTCCAGAGTGTTAGTGTATTTGAGCATTGCACCTTGTGAGGGCCGAAAAAAAAAAATCTCTTCTCTTTTTTTTTTTTTTTTTTTCCCAGGTGAACGTTCAGTAGGGTTGGACAGAAGATGCCACGGGGATGGTGGTTTGTCAGATGGCTGGGGACAGCAATGGCGGTCCTCTCTTTGCTGACCCACAGCTGGGAACAGGACACGGAAGGTAGGAGCGCAGCACACATCGCCGAGGGCGGAGGGGACGTAGACACGGACAGTGTTTATTGTCAACATCGTCGAGGCCGCGCGGAGGAGAGGAAAAGTCCAAACGATGTTTTTGTTTATTCACCGGACATGTTTTGCATTTCCCCTCTGCCAAGTTTCCATGTCATACATATGATAATCTTGATGTTTACATACAGCACATACGGCAGGTCTGTCCGTCACAAACACAGAAATCTGAACAAATGGTCGTCCCGTATTGTGATACGGAAGGTTTTTTTTTTTTCCGATCCGGCCCGACGTATCCTCCCGTGCTGACTGCTGAAAACCAACATTTGCGCATCGTAGTTCACAAGAGGATTCGCGTCTGGCTTCATTAAGTCCGACATCATGTTTTTTCTCACAGGAGCCAACATGGAAATTGAAATCAGAACAAAAATAAACCAACAATGACGACGGTGAAAACATTTGCCCCACTTAACTAATAAAAATCTATTTATATACGGCAATCTAGGGCCCCAGAGGCAATTTACAACTATTAGAGCTTCCGGTGTTGAGTTTTAGTGCAAATCCGACGGTACGTTTGTGTGCAAATTAACTCCTCGTCCTTTTAGATTTTTAATATTTTTCCAAATGTTTTTCCTCCTACACAGTTCACTGATTATGTGGAGAGGCGTCTCTTTATAGTTTCGTGTCTAATTCCCCACCCAACAGAGGTGCTCTGGCGTTTCAGGTCTCAGGTGACCAGAGATGCCAGTTTAAAATGAAGCTCAGCTGTAACAGATTGGCAGGTCTTTAAAGCTGAGGGTGAGGAGGCGGTGAGCGTGGAGCGGGGAAATGTCTTGTTTCCTGTGTGAAAACAGAGCAAATGATTCGGGTCATGTGTGATAATCCTCTGCTTTCATCAGACGTGTTGTTTTGTTTCCACCCAACCCAGTTTGCTGGTAGAACTTTGAGGGTATGACTCTATCGCAGCGTATCGTCTCGGAGTTTCTCTTAATTTCCGATGTC